TTATTTTGTCTCTCTCTTGCCCCTAGCAATTGAGCTGCTTGATTCTTGCTTAGCAACAGAATACAATGGCCACTCTTATTTTTGTGTCGGGTGAACGGGTCCTACCATATTTTATTTTTAATTTGAATGTTTTATTGTATTTTATTTTTATTATTGTGCGATTCCCCTCCCACCTCATTTCATGTCATATTTTTAGTTATTTTTATAAGGAAAGAAGAAAAAAGACATTTGTATATATTGTGAAATTTTTATGTCATGGGTGTTTTAGTAGGATCCCTGTGAATATGCAGTAATTGTGGTATATGTCAGATGAACGGTGATGGATGAATTCTTGTGGTGTATGAGTAAATTGTAAAGGATGGATGGGTCGCAAATCAGATTAGCTAGGTTTAGGATAGTCAGTGATGACTAGTCTCATCCCACTTCCCCTTCGATCTTATGCCAAAATTGTATACATATTTACATATACAGTTTTTGTGTGCAAAGTTTTTAAATAGTTCTTTGATGAAGTCAGTTCTAGTGTTACTTGTAAAATTTTGACATGTTAATACAGATATAGGTGATATTGAATAATATAGATTTTACTAGCTTTTGAACAGACTGATGAGAGACAATAGGAAGCATGAAAAAATTTTCAGCAGTATTCGTCTTTAATAACTGTATAGTTTAGTTAAAGTTATGAAAGTTATTTTTCTTATTTGCACCCCAATTTAAATATGTAAAACAAAAAGGTTTCATTTGTTTGAACTATTTTGGGAATAACTTATCAAATTAGGACAGTGAACTAGTTATCACATGTAAAGAACTAAAATATGATATTCATAAATTGTCTACAGAAACAAAACTATTTTAAATAAAAAAGAATTACAGGTAATAACCTGATGCATAATAAACATAGGTACTTATTATTTCAAAAGTACTTAAATTTGACCATATCAGTATTTTTGTCATTGTCTAAAAGTGGATACTCAAAAGATACTATTTTACTTTTCTACCACTTGTACTTTTCCCTAAAACAAACTAAGGTGCCAGTTTTGTGAAATGTAAACTTAATGTCCAAATTGTTAAGTTTAAAATTGCAGAAAAATAAGCACTGAATTTAAGTTTATGATCAGAATGAGTTATCCTTTACCTTACATAATACATTTAGGGAAAAGGAATGTGCCATCAAATATTTTAACAATTCAGCTTGAATAAACAATGAAAGATTTTGAAAGGAACACATGTATTATGTAGAAAAAACTTTTTCCCTTATGCCTAAAATTTATATAAAACATTTAATATAACAATATCCACAAGAGAAAAGATTACCTTAAAATAAATTATATAAACCCCTAGTACCAGTTTTTACTGCTTTAAAGTAAATTAGAAAATACACTATGTGCTACTCTTGAAATATATACTATTCTCTGCAAATAAAACAGCTTTTGTTTTGTCTATATTGAACGTGTATAATGAGCTATTTTTTTCTTTTACTATTAACCTATCTTTTCAAACATTTGTCTCTCACTTGAAATGTATACTGCTTAATCTCTCTTATTCCAAAAATAAAAATCTTGTGTTCATTTTTTTTGTAACAATGATAACAGGAAATGTATGCATCTTTCTCTGTTTATCAAAAACAATTTTGTCACTTAAAAAAATGGAACTGTTTACTTATTATCATTTGGTAGTTTCTCCAAATGAAAACCCTGCTCTCCATTAGCTTCCTCCACATCAACACAGCTGAGTTTCTACTTTCAAAATAAAATTTTGTATTCTTCTTAGTATATTTTTCATAACGGGAAATGTATACCTCTTTCTTTATCAAAAGTTTTTCCATTAGTGATTGCATGTAGTCTACTCTCCATAATTTGAAAAGTTTGTCCATCAAGAGCAAACTAGTCTTCTTTGTATAAAAAATAACTAAAAGAATATACTATTTTCTATTTAACTGGCTCTGAAAAATACAAGATTGAATTCCGTTCATCTTTTATAAATAGAAATATGCATTCTTGTTTGCGCTTCCAAAGTAACCTTTTTTTCTTATTTGTTTTCAATGAACAAGAGCAGCTTTTTTTTTATTAATTTGTATTTCTCAAAAAGGCTACTGATATCTGGCTTTGATAACTTGGAATCAATAGGCATTTTGAATTAAATCTTTTCAAAGTAATATTTTTTCTTTGACATGTGTAAAGGTAACCTCCTCCTTTCTATTTACTCTTCATTTTGGGGGAGAGGGCTTCTTGCTTTGGACAAATATTTTTCATCACCCCCTCATAAATACAAACAACCAAAGACTGTCAACTTAGCAAAAATAAATAAATCAATTCTGTTTTCCATTTGTCCTTTACTGAAAGTGTATAGTCTTTATTAGCTATCAAAACCTATAAAGTAGAAAACTTGAATGATCCTTTTTATCTATCATGAATGGAAGAGACTTTAGTACTATCAGCCTTTTCAAAATAATAATCTGAACTCTTTCTTGATGAGTTTCTGTTGACCACTCAAAAATCAGGATCATTTACTGTAAGTGAATCAACATTCTATCTCTGCAATATATTTGTTTTAACAAAAGAGAATTCTTTTTGATTTTTGCTTATTCTTGAAAAACCAAAAGCTGAACTTATTTTTTGGTTCTTAGTTCTAATAGCTAGTTCTTCAAATGGTCTTTACAGTAGATAACTGTATAATCTTGTCACTCGCAAGATAAAATCTCCTTAATAATGAAAGAGAATCTTTTTTTTCTATGTGCTTTTTAAAAAGATATTTCATTCATATCACTTTGAGAAGTGAAAATCTGACAAAATATTCAAATGATAGTACCAAGTGATACAAAGAAAATGAATACAATAGACAAGTTAGGTATTGGTTATAGATCAACAAATATACATACCATCATATATGCACAAATATATACACACACACACACAAGGTGTGAAGAAAAATTCCCACTTCCTAATATCTAAACTAATGATCAAATATCAGAATTTTTTTTGAAAAGAGTTCTTGGTTGACAACTTATCAACCCCACTATATTGATATAGGACCTAAGTAAAGACAACTATTTTTAAAAAATAATCTTTATTCAACTACCTAAACAGTTCAAGAATATTTTATTATACAAATTCAAGTTTGAATTTGTCATCAGTAGATTTTAAAGGTTTTATTCTTTCAGGTATCAAATTTATCAGATCTGTTGTGGGATATCCAGCAGTGAGAAAACAAAAATCTTCCATAAAATATTTTCTAAACTTTTATTTCAAAATCCAAAATGGCTTACATTAATTGGGATTCTCGTCAAGAAACAAAATTTGCATCAAGGATTATTTTATAGATATTTTAAGGCCTGTTATTTACTAATTGTTTTTCTAAATAGCATGGTGTTCCATTGTCTATAAAAAGGTTGCAGTGAATATTGGGCAAAAAATTTAACATTAGTATGCAGTAGGCAAGTTCTCAATTTCAGTCAAACTTGTTTCTTTGTTTTAGCAGGATATAACACAACCATGAAATTCCAACACTATTGTTCAGTGAACAAAGTCACCAGCAGAATGCTAAAAGTTAGGAAGTTACATGTTAAATCTAAATAAAATAATTGTGCATTTACTTGTGCCATATATTTGTACACATTGCTAAATACACTTCTGTCACCTTGAATCTTGTTTTTTTTATTGTCCTCTGTTTCTTTCACTCTCAGTAAGTCCTTGCATCACAGTTGTTTTTATCATCTTGCTAGAGTATTCTTACACACACAAAAAAAAACAATTTATCAAGTAGGAATAATATCAATTGTAAATACTTTGTTATAGTTACAATAATTAGTTCTAAATGAATACAAACTTATGAACTTTCTTATTCTTTAATTTGATGCTTTAATAAAAAAAAAAATAAAAAAAACTTTAATGGAAATCTTTTTAAAATTTTTTTTATAAAAATAATAGTGTCCTAACATTTAATTTACTAAATTGTAGAAAAAATTACTTTGGAACAATATAAAAAAATATATATATATATATATTTCCACCAGTTCATATAATTTTTAACCATCAAAATCTCAAAACCTCTCATTCAAAGTCTAACCATTTCAAAATAAAATGGCAATTAAATGCATAATATTTTTAATATATAAAGTATTGTACTAAGAAATAAAGCAAAACAAAAAAATTATTTTCCCAACTTGTGTTGTCTGAAAAATTCTTTGAAAAGCCTAATCTAGGTTTGCTTTTATTTTACAAATTTTCTTTTGGCTTTGGACTGTAGAGAAAGCACACACATAACCAAAACATGAAATACCAATAAAGGAAGAAAAAAAGAAAGTAAAACACAGTAGCTACATTAAAAAGTAATATTTTTGCTATAACAACTATATACAAAGGAATGGACTGATGAAGGATTCAAAGATAAAAGAATATTTCAATATGTCACTTAATAACTTGTGGAATGAAGTCACCATTATACAATTTTCATTTAAAAACAGATTTCTGCTTACAATGTAAATACACACATACATACATTTAACAAAGGACAGTTAACCTACCTGTTAAAATAACACTCTCACAAATAGTTTAGTAGTTGTAAAATAAAACAGCATCAACAATTATTAGTGTTTTCTTTTGTTACTTCAGACTTATACTCATCTTTGTTCTTGTCACCTTTTGAATAGTGTATTTGCCAGTTGTCATCAGGTGATACAATGAGGCTAATATTTGCCTAATCACACACATTTTCCAATAGTATAAAAGGGTGCACAAATTTACACTGTGTAACCTGCTTGAATGATTCACAATAAGAATAACACTGAATATATTCATAAATGCAAAATAAAAAACTCCCAACATCTGAAAAACATGCAGTTATTTACAAAAAGAGAAAAGAAGAATGTGAAAACAGATTTTTAAAAATTCATGCAGAAAATAAAAGCAAGCCCCAAAATTGGTTAGTGAGCAACTGTGAAAGAAGAAAGAGAAGAAATAGAAATGCTTTAGTAGTATAGCAATGATGATTGGTCAAGGTGGTACCTTTCTGCGTATTGATTCTATGTCCAAGTCTAGCTGCCTGCTGGGTAAGTAAGGGAAGCCCTTGTTGAATGCCTGTCAGGGGAAGTAGGATTAATGATATAATTTTTGAACTTGCATATTTCTGCAGATGTGTTACTTAGAATAACATCTTTACTGGATACACATACAGGGAATGATACAAATTGCAATACATTTTCTAAATATACATACATCAAAATAGTGAAAAAAAATATAGTTTTAGATATATAAAAACAGCTAAATATAAATACTAAGATGAAAACTTTTAAAATATACTTGGAAAGTATTAAAATATGTGAAATATTTATATCAAATACAAAATCACTTGAAAATATTATCAATAAAAATTTGAAAACTTAATATTTTACAAAAACAATTATAAATGATTTAAAAAAAAAAAAAAAAAAGTGTATCGTGTGTGTAAAATATATTTAATTTAAAAAATGTTAATTCAAATGCATGTTAAAATATTCAAAACATGTAAATAACAGATATTCAAATACGATATTTTATTTGGAAAATGACCTACCATCTTTACCAGCCTATAAAGTGGATGGTTTATGAGGGTATTTAGGAAACTACCATTCATTGCAACTCACCCAATGTGGCATAGCTGTTTATTTGGAATTTCAGGAGAGGGCCTCCTAGTTATAATACCAGTGCATTGGATGTAGCATGATATTTGCATAGTTTTTATTCTTATTTAAATGTGTCTTATATACTGACAAATATGGTAATTCATTATTAATTTTTTCTTGACTGAATCTGGAATTTGATTTGAAAAGGAATACAGGTACTAAATATTTTAAGATGGCATTTATCCACAAAATGTTGTGACACAGGGATACAAAAGAAAAAAATGAAGTATCCTATGTGAAATTGAAAATCATATTTCCAATTTTTTTGTTTTTCTTGTTTGTGTGTGCATGCATGCACACCTATCTCCTATCTTTTGGTCTTCTAGAACTGAGTGAAAAGGGTTATAATGAAATATAAGTGCCCATAATATCATCTTAGCTGAAATTTAGCAAGCAGCAATATTAAGAGTATACTTGCAAAGTAGATAGGTAGGCTAACCACACAAAAGTGAAGAATTTGGCATTTTAAGAGAGAACAATGAGATAAGCAGTGCCCCCCTCTTTGCATCATACTCAAGCAAACTGTTCAACATGCACATCCAATACTAAAAAAACTAAGCAGTAGCATTTTTATAATATTATATATCAATGGTATATACTAGTATTGCAAGTTAAATATTGATATGTGAAAATTCCTATATGTAAATTGCTGATGAAGAGTCAATACATTAAAACAATTTCATAAATGATATATACAGACTATTGAAAAAAATAATTTATAATCAATACAGCATTTTGGAGTGATTGAATTGTAAACTAACTGAAATTCATGTTTTACAAATGAATATCTATCAAAACTAAAAGTATATCATTCTTTTATCTAAAATACCATAAATACAGATTTAACTGTTAATAAAATTCAAGCAGAACAATTTTAATATTTTACCAGAAAGTCACTAAATGGTAAATTTTTAGTTTCAAATACATTACTATAGATAAAATTTATTCTTAATACATTACACCATATTATTGACAGGAGGTAAATATACAATTAAACAAAATCTGGTATAAAAATTAAAGCCAATATTTAAATCAATGTATCTGGTAAATCTACAATACCAACATTACAGGCCAATATTATTGTGCAATATGAAATATCAGCAGCAGCAGCCTGTGGTAAAATTACCATAAAAGGCTTTTGTAATCTCAACACATTATAGTAGTAGTTGTTTCTAATTATTGTTTCTTAACACTAAAAGATATGTAGTGAAAACATTTTTATAATGAAAAACAGGGTTCACTTGTATTGTTTTCTAGAAATTAAAAGAATCTAGTGTTATTTTTCATATCAATGTGACTAAACAATACTAATATTTTTTTTTTAAATTCTTTAATTTTCTTTCAACCTAGAAAAATAGCCTAAAATATTGTTCATATAGTTATCTGATAGTTTTCTTGTTTGTGGGTGAAACAAATGAACTGTTTTTTTTTTATTACTGCTACATTTTCTGTAATATTGAGAAGTCAATTAACATAGAATATAACACCAGCAAAAATCAACTTTTTATCATAAAACCAAAATGAGAAGAGATAAAAATAAGCATTACAAAATAAATCTTGTGAGAAAAATATTTGGATTATACATGACCCATAAAATAATGTATTTGTAGGTATACAACAATCTTTAATTAGTGATGAGTCAAAGATTTAATTAACACCCTAAAAAGTTGCAAAATACTGATTTCAATCAGACTAATGTTCAATGCAATTTTGCCATTCTGTATGTAGAAAGCAAATTTTTAATAAAACCCACTTTTGCTACAACAGTATATGAACTAAAAGAAACTTTATCACAATTTGAACCTAATTTAAATAAATAAAATAAAAAATAAAACAATATACAGTGAATGAAGTTGTTCTTCAGTATACTGAAGACTGAAAGATTTTCTTATAAATTTTGGCTGGCTTCATGAGTGTGAGGTCATGTCATTTATTTTTCTTATCCTTTTATTTTTAAAATATCTACCTATACATGAACTTTATTCGAAGTATAATTTTGATAAATTTGACAACAGGTGAAACAGTTTCTACAGAAGTCTGGAATGCACAATGATATTGTTAAAGAAACATATTCATAGAATAAAAACAGTTATGTTGGTTTATATAATTCCTGAATTGTGAATAGTCACTTACATTAAAAAAGCTACAACTGTTAAGATGCAAAATGTTTAATAAAATATACTGTTTTTTTATTAAGTCTTTTTAGTGCATCCTTATATTGGGTAAGGCATTGTGCAAGTTTCTTTTTATAAAGTTCTGAAACAAAATTTCAAAACCGAAAGATTGATAATTCACTTAATTTGTATCTCAATGTCAATCTACAAAAGACACAAAAATATTTTTTTTAATATCAAAATTCTGATAAGGTAAAATGGTAACTTCAAATTTAAATTTCACTGGCTCTATTAGGCACTTATGATTTAATATATTTATTAATTCTCCAACTACAGCAGAACATTTCATAAAAATAGAATTAAAAATAGCAAAAAATGTTCCTCAATTATATTTTTGGTGAGATTTGTTTCAGCATTGTATTCTCAATTATTGTGGGGAGATGTAGTTTCAAACAATATAGATTTTTACAAATACACAAATGACAGAATGAATATGATTAGTAAATTTTGGTGCACTGACATGAAACACTTTTTCTTGGCAAAAGAGCAGTAAACAAAACTTTGTTACACTTTGACCAAATGTATTCTTGTCAGTGTCTCCAAACACTGATGGAAAACTAGAAAATGTTGCCCAATATTTAGTCATATTTGAGGTTACAAAAATACTTAAATCACAGATTAATGTAGATTCTACATGTACTCCAATATTATACATGGAGTATGAAAAAATGGAGTCAAATTTAAGTAGTTACTATCAAAATTTAATCATTTAACATGGCTGCTTAAAATATTTTCAATGCATTGATATCAAAAGGCTCCATTTTACAACAAGCATAATTTCCTTTCAATATAACTTTTTCTGGTCTTCTACTGATGTGAAAAGCATATATACTTTAACAGGTACCTCAACAGACACACATCTCTATATGGATTTTGCAAGCACATTCATATTATATAATACTGTTATCACGTTAAGATAAAAGATTTGTGTGAAAACTGATTCAAGATTGCATTCTCCAATAAGCAAATATAAGGGAAAAACCTGACCAGTTAAATGTCATCAGTCTTAAGGTTTTGATTAAAAAAAACTGATAAATAATTAACCTGATTTATTATGGTGAAACTAACATTACAGCACTAGAGTAAGAGGAGACAATGGTAAATAAAGCTATTGACAAGAATCTTTTCAGATTATTTCTGGAAACAGCCTTCAATAGGTCTTGAAAACAAATGAAAATTGAAAAATATACATGTTCTAAAGAAACTACTTTTGAAAGGATCACAATAGAGCTAGGAATATCTATTCACTCTGATCAGAGTCAGCCATCCATATACTCTAGATAAACCAGAACCATAAAAAAAGGTAAAGAGCAGAAGTCAATGACTACTCTTGCTGGACATCACTATAATTAACAACTGTAGATCCATTTGCATGTAAAGAATTGTGCAAACATGCATTTTGTTTGTTCCATTTTTATTGTATCTGTACTTAACACAAAAGAAAAAATAGAACTTACCTCATTATAACGAGGCCGTCCCCGTAACTTTACAGGGGATATTTCATCTTTTTCGTCTGATGTTCCTGATATGTCTTCACTCTCACCATCTGATCCAATCCGAGGGTTTTCATGGACAACACCTGGAATTAGAGAAACAGTGGGCAAATTAAAGATAAAGAGGCAAAAGCAAATACAGTATTTAAGTACTAATTGGACCTCAAATGGAATATTTGGCAATCTTGGACCTTCGTGCTTGCCAAAAAAAAAAAAAAAGTGTTAAAGGGACGGTTTTTCCCTTGACAATGCTCTTATTTTAACTACCTTCACTCCTCAGCAATGTTTGTTTTAAAAAGTGATGATTAGAATTGTAATAAAACCTAAATAAATGAATTATAAATTGGTAAATGATAAATATTGCATTGCAGTAGTTTTAATACAATTGTATTAGTTGCTATAATATTGTAAATATAAAATTATTCTTGTAAATATAAAATCTAATAGCATTTATTATTTTATTGTAAATTCTCAATAACAAAGAAAATGTATAAATTCACTTTCACCATGTTTAAATTTTAAAATTCTAATCAATTTTTAAAACAATAAACGTTACCGAGGAGTGAAGGTAATTAAAATAATAGGGGTGTCAAGGGAAAAGCAGTCCTTTTGACCCCTTCAATTTTTGTGAGCAGGAAGTTCCAAGATTGCCAAACATTCCATGTTTTTAACAGACAACACAATAGAGATAAGCTTACCGTGGCACCACAGCAAAATTTCGAGGGGCCCTTAAAAAAAACAAGCCATGTCCATGACAATTTTTTCCTTCAACTTAAAACAAAGAGAGGGAAAATGAGATCAACTCATTTTATCATTGCAAAAACTTTTCTTGGAATTCCAAACTCTGTGCCATCATGAAAACCTGAAAACATATTCTGTGTGTGCTTGTTTCAACCAAAACAAGACACCTACCATTTCCAACAACACACTGTCAAAATGCTGAAACATGAGAGAAGACTTGCTGAACTACCAAAAGAGGCTAAAAATGTAAGACTTCTTTTTCAAACAAGTTTTCTCCTTTTTTATGAACCTTAAAACTTTACACGAAAATATTTAAATCAGCCAATTTTGAATAATCATAAATGTCTACCATAAATGAAATGAACATCATATGTGTGTGCACACACACATTCATAGTAATAATACATTTCATTTTAAAACAGCAATACTTAAATAAACTGGTCCCCTAAAAAAAAAAAAAAAAAAAAACAAAGAAAGAAAAGAAGTCAGGGATCAGTTTGACATTGTATTTATATTGTAAACAGGACCGCCCATCTAAAATAATAGAAAATTAATGTTTTTTGGTTCTGACAAATTGCCTGATTAGAGGAAGTTCTTCTGAATGCTAGGTAACAAAAATTAGTCATGAAAATATTTTTATCTATAAGAAATTACTAATTAATATTCATGTCAGAAAGTAAAGGATCGTTTTGAGTTTTGACATTTACTGTACATATTGTAATTTAAAAAATATATATTTTGTTATTCTATTCTTTTTAGTATTTCTATTTATTTATATGTTTTACTGTGATAAAGATTTGAGTTGATCCTAACAGAATAGAGTTTCTTTATTCAGAGCTTCAAATGAAGGGGAAAAAAATCATAATTATTTTCAAAATATTCTGCCAATACATTAAATTCTTAATTTACTCTTATATTTTCTCCACAGATCAACCCAAAGCACTTTTGCTGAAACAAAATGGTCAAAGCCCTCTGAGGTTCAACCTGAGCCTTTATCATGTTCTTCCCATCAGCCTTCAGAAAGTCAACAGCCTCACAAAATTCAAAATAGAATTTAAGATTTCTACATTGAAGTTATGGAATATTTTTGGTTTGGAGTGGGTCAGTGAAGATGATATCTTTGTTGATTCAGTGTTTTGTACTATTTGCAGTAAGGTACATTCTAAACCAAGTCGAAAACTGCTTTACCTAGGTGTTGATACTGTTATTAAAGGAACTTCCAATGTGAAAAAAGACATAGCAATGACACAAACAATAAAAAACAAATTTTGCAAATGATATAATTCTGAAGAAAACAAGAATTAAAAAAAAAAAAAAAAAATTTCTTCGGTTGAAAAAGAAAAATGCAAATTTTCTCTTGAAATTCAACAATAATAATAAAAGAAACTGTCCAAAACACCATATCAGAATTTGTATACAATTCTGATGAGGGACTGACTTTTTCTGCATATTTTGTCAATATGAACAAATATTCAGCCAGAAATGCAGCAGCTGAGAAGATGAGAAAACAAGATTTTTGTTAAGAAAAATAGCTCCGATAGAGTATGAAAAATACTGCAACTACATATTACCAAAAAAAAGAAAAAGAAAAAAAAAACACAAGTGAAATCAGGTTTGAAGACATGGTAAACATTCTGATGAAAACCTTTAATTACAAGAGCTCTCTGTTTAATGCTTGTTGGAGCTGTATGAATCTAACCAAAAAAGAGGACAAAGATTTTGTCACATATGCTGGTATCGTCAACAAAAACGAAAAGTTTAGAATAAAAAAATGACTCCAAATATGTTCAAAGGGTTAATTTTTGTTCAAGGTTTAACAGCTAAAAAAGATGCTGAAATAGAAGTGAAAGTCAAACAAAACAGTAATATTACACTGCAAGAAATAGTGGATGATTGCCAGACAATTCTAAGTCTGAAACACAATGCTGAAGAAATTCAGAAAAAAGAATGTGCATTGGTACAAGCAAAGGACAAATGTACAAAAAGGAGAATAAATCCTTGTTTCAGATGTGGTAAATTACATCTTGGAAAAGACTGTCCATTTAAAAATGCAGAATGTTACAAGTGTGGTAAAATGAGGACATATAAAGTCACACTGCAAAACCAAACCAAGAAAAAATTCTCACAGGAAGAAATTTGTACACAGCATTGCAATGGAAAAAATGGTCACAGAAAACAAAAGGAATTTTGTGAATGTGAAAATAAATAATGTGGGTGTGAAAATGCTACTGGACACTGGTAGTGATATTTCAATAATCAGTGAAACCACATAGAAGGAAATTGAATCCAAAGATGTGATTTCAGTTTCTGGTGAGAAATTTATTTTTTTGAGAAATGACTTGTAATGTCTCATTCCGTAATAATCATGTAAAAACTAAAGCTTATGTATTAAAAAATGCTATGAATTTATTTGGTAGTGACTGAATGGAACTATTTGAACTTTAGGATTTGCTGATAAATGTTTATTGTAAAAACGTAAATGGACAAGTGACCAATTTAAAAAGTCAGAGAGAAAATCTTAAAGAATTAAAAAAATTTTTTCCATATGTTCTGTAAAATCAACTGAGTCAATGTTCAAAATTCAAGGTGGATTTTCAAATAAAAAAAGGTTTAACACCAGTATTTGAGCTGAAACAGCATACCATTTGCAGTACTGGAAGAAGTCAACAAAGAGTTGGCCAGACTTGAAAGAATTGTAATATTGCAATAGAAAAAAAATTAACCATTCAAAATGGGCTGCGCCAGCAGTGTATGTAAAAAAAAAAAAAAAAAATTTGTATTTGTGCGGATTTCTCAACAGGATTAAAAAGCTGTTTTGAAACACATAACTACCCATTACCAAGTCTAGAGAAAATATTTTCCAAGTTAAACAGTGGAAGAATATTTTCAAAGCTGGATCTCTGAAGTGTATTTACAAATTCAAATAGAAAATGAATGTTCAGAATTAACAACAATAAATACGCACAGAGGATTATATAAGTTTAACTGACTTCCATTTTGGTATAAAGGTGGCACCGGCTATTTTTCAACAAGCTATGGATACCATGTTTGCGGATTGTGATTTTGCAGTGATGTACCTGGATGATATGTTAATGAAAAGTGTATCTAATGAACAACATGTTGCCCATGAGAAAACAATTTTGGAAAAATTCAAGCTCAGTGAAGAAACATGTGAATTATTTTTGCTGGAAATTAAATACCTTGGTCAAATAATTGATAAATATGGTTGTCAAACAGATCTGTCAAGAGCATGTGCAATTAAAAATATGCCTCCACCAACTAACGTGACTATATTAAAAGCTTTTCTAAGACTAGCTAATTGTCATCAAATATATGTACATAATATGCATAATTTGAGAGCTCCACTGAATGATCTACTTAAAAAAGAAGTTAAGTGGAACTGGAATGATAAGGGTCAAAAGGTATCTGACAAAATAAAAAAAAGACTGATGTCAGATTTATCATTAGCACACTATGATCCAAAAGCAGAAATTGTAGTGACATCAGATGCTAGTGAGTACGGTATTGGAGCAGTGATTTTACACAAAAACTATGGCAGTAAAATGAAAGCCTTTGCTCATGCTTCATGCTTGCTTCTACCAGCAGAGAAAAATTACAGCCAGATAGAAAAAGAGGCTCCAGCAATTATATTTGCTGTGAAGAAATTTCATAAATTTATTCATGGAAGAAATTTTAGGTTGCAAACAGACCACAGACTATTAACAATATGTGGTTCAAAGAAAGGAATACCTAAACATACAGCTAATAGACTACAATGCTGGGGTACCATCTTATTAAACTATGATTTTACAATGGAGTACCAATCGTCTAAAAAATTAGGACATGCAGATGGATTATCAAGATTAATACTTAAAAATGCAGAACCATTTGAGGACATGGTCATTGCAGCACTAAAAAGCAAAATGGAAATAAAAAAAAACATTTTGTGCAATGTAGTAAGAGAGTTACCAGTTACCCTGGAAGAAATAAAAGAAAAAGCGGAAAATGATGTCTTTATTGCAAAAATAAAAAAGCAATTGAAAGAAAGTAACAAAGAACAAAATCCAGACTTAAACACTTACTCACTATGCAACAGTGTAGTAATGTTTGGGCAAAGGGTTGTAATACCTAGTGTGTTACAGAAGCAAATATTGAAGGATTTTCATAGCAGACATCCTGGTATTTCAAGAATGAAATCTCTGATGAGAAGTTTTGTATATTGGACCAGAATGGACCAAGATATTGAAAAAATAGTGAAAGCTTGCAGAGGTTGTGTTCTGGCAGCAAAACTACCTATCACAAAGATAGAACCTTGGCCAAAGACAGACATGCCATGGTCAAGACT